CCTCAATACGGAATAAATCTAAACAACATACCTGTTCAATACTGGTGATAAGGGATTATCTCCTGGTTTACTGAGACCTGGTTACTCGCTGGACGCTGCAGGTGCAAGCTGTGTGTAGAACCTTCTCTTTATATCCAATAAATCTTCCAGACAATCAATTATCAGGAATCTGGTGTCTTTGTTGGCTTCCTCTGTCTTAATTACGGGACCGAGTGTCACGGAAAGATCTGCTTATTCCTGGTGAAGAATTGTCAACTCTTTTTGATAATTGGAAAGTTACGAAACCAGGTTGACCCCGGCACGGCGACAAAGCATGATTTTACCCGAGTCGGGTGTACGCCATCATTTAAGGGAGGGACATATGAAAAACACTCATGGATCGCGCTATTTTAACAACGACATTACATTATAATTATCAAATACACCGCAGCGACTTGTATAAGTCTTCTGAAATCATTTTAGCATTTTTTATTTTTGTGCGTAAATCATAATTATTTATCCAAAAAGTTTTTCTTTAATTTGTCCCTGCTAATCGTAATTTCACATTAGTCTTGTGACCTAATCTGACGACATGTTCGTTTTTCTCCAGAGGGTTCCCCCCGATAGAATCGATGAACGCTATTGGGGACGTTATCAAAGCACGGGTCTTTATACATCAGAATGAGCATCAATCACGCTTTATTTGATAACTATACTGCTACAGTTGACAGCTATTTAATGTCAAATCAAGAACTATTTCGATTTGATTATTACCTTCACTTAATCGTGTACGTAATGTTATAAAAAGGGAACTGTGTCAAGTTTTTGCTCCGCTGTATCATATGTACCCTTATTCTGCCTTTCAGCTGTTCTTTCCGAACAATAAATTGTAGATATGTGTGAAGAAAATCTGCATTTTATCACCCAAGCATGCAGACAAGCATTTCTTCTGAAGTTACGATTTTTTTCTAAGTTTGTCTTCTCAACCAAATAAATTCAGTGGCCCTCTTGTGCATCCTATTTATGGAAATATCTGAAAATTACAATGCCTGCACCCTTTTTTGATATTATTTGATGTCTAAGGTTTTATCCTCAAAACGGGTGATAAGTTGAAAGCTCAATGGCTACGGTCTGATAAGCTACACTAGCCCTGTGTACTGCGACTGTAGAAAAAAGTCTTATGAGAAAATACTTCGTGACCGTCATCTAACATGCTCGGCTGCTCGTCGCATACAGCTCACATAGAGACGGTATTATACTGCTGTGACCAGCTTTCATTGAATCTTTAATGGAACACGTGGAGTAAAACGCGCTTAGGGCGAGATGTCATTTGTCTTGTAAAAAAAGTAGCAGTTTCCCCCCTGATATCAGGAGACTCTAAAAATTTATAAAATTAAGGTAAAACCCACTGTGGGAAGACACCCAGTCAACTCGTCTACTGCTACTTAACTTGGCAAAGAATATGTCTCACGTGGAACACGTTCTCGGTGATCGCGCCCAATCTAGCAGGGTCAAATACCAGACAACTAGCGACCCTGTAGTCAAAGAGTAGTGATAGTCCTAGGAATCGAATCCCGCGGCCCAATATGATTAGTACAGGTTAGGGTTAGTTGGAGTATTGGGGTTAGCATATGAGGCGAAAGTCACCTGTACAAAGTAATGGGGAACGAACTACGGTTCCTAGCAGACTACCATTCCTGTCATACCGGTACATCTTCAGCGAGCGTCACTTTTCACTGAATGAGTTTCGGAGGCGGTGATTCCTCTCTGTCAAATTAAAACAATTTTTGTGGACTTGCGGCATTTTAAATTTGCAGTAGCTTAACGGAAAGAGGTGATGGTTAAAACATTCATCCGGTGCATATAAAATCTGAAATAAAAATCAGATTCGACAGCGTAGAGGATGTCCACCTGCATAGCCTCATTCCCTGGTTAATATGGTCTACACAGGCATCCAAATATTGGAGGGAAACACTTTCAATATTAGCTGTTGATCAAAGAAAATCACTTTATTCTTATAGCATTACACTACTGACAAAAATTTATTCTCCGCCCTTGGGTGGTGGTTTGGATAAAAGAATAAATATAATATGAAAACGTGATCAAAATTATTTCGGAAAAAGTCTTTTAAAACCCCTCAAAAGAACGACGACTCATTTTTATTCGTAATGCGACGCGGAGAAGATTTGATTACCAGTTGCCCGCGTAGTTTACACATTTACGACTATCCTAGGATCAGCCTTACATGTTATTTTCTGCCTCTTAAAACTCTCTGGTCATTTCTGTTAAATTACTGTTTATTCGTTGAATTTCGTCTTTCTAACACTCGCCTTAATAATCTTTTTTTCACTTTCCTTATGTTATTTGCTATATGAAAAATTACCATGATTTCGCGAGCAGTTTAATTCTTAATACAGAATATAGTCGAGGAAAATAACAAAAGTCTATATTTACTTCAGTTTCTTTCTCATTAATTGAAATCAAAACGACAGGACATCAATAAAATATAAGTTAAACTACAAAATAACCCTGATGTTTACCATACTTACTGTAGGTTACTGATGATATACTGCTGGCAAAGAAAACATAAATCTTTGACAACGACAACAATAAATCTTCTGGTGCAACTAGATCTGAGTGGTGAGATATTGATGTTTTATTGTTTTTATGTGGTCAGGGTAAGCGTTTGTTTTCCTGACATAAGACAATATTCTCTACCACGCATGAAAGGCTTTAAAATGAAGCCTAAAGTTTAAAGGTGATGCTGAAGGAATTCTTAAAAGAACCCATGGTAAATACCAAGCCAAAGCACACACATCCACCACGTAGGCTGGCGGCAGGGGGGCCGAGGGGGGGGGGGGGGGGGGGGAAGGGGAGGTTGGGATTTTGGGAGGGGGATGCGTTCCAGCAAATCGCCCTTTAGGTCTCTCTGAATAAAAATTCGATCAAATTTCCATGTCAGTACTGCAGCACACGCACGTCACGAGGCAAAATTTTTTTTCTTAAGATAAAGAACATTATTGATTACTGGCCTGCCCAGCCCTCACGTACATACTGCACGTCATCAACTCGTCTTTCCAAACTCTCAAGCTTTATTTATTTATTTATTTATTTATTCCTTGTATTATTCCTTACGTGACTCAGTCCATGTCACATGTTCCCAGTCAAGAATCAAGTGGTAATTTTTTCGATCTGTTAAGTTTCACATTTTTCATGGTTTACAGATTTATTTTTAAAAACCAAATGCTGACAAGATTCCCCACTAATTTCTTCTCTTTCATATTAATTTTTAACGCTCAATAATGAAATTAAATGCAGTCTTTGTGTGGACAGGTAAATTGTTTTTATACACTTAAACTAAAATTACTGTATGTCAAAATATACATGTACTGAAAAATAAATCATTATTGGCGTCTAAAATCTATCATTTTGGAGTATTATGTATTCCATTCGGATTAAAATTCGGATTAAAATACTGTGGGCCCTTACAACATAGCATTAAATAGATGAAAGTAGTACTTACTGCAGGTTATCAGCAATAAACTGACAACAACAACAAGATGTAAGTGGTGTGATATTTATGTTTTGTTTTTAAGTGGTCAAAGTAATCCCCATTTTACCTGATATGAATGATTTTCTGCCTTCACGCACTGGCGACCTTTAAGAAAGGTTCCTTACAGTGGCCGAGCGAAATAATAAATATCTTATTGAGACGGTCACAGACGTGCATTATTACACTGTTAAACAGGCAAAATTTGCTTTCTTCTTATTTTTTTTATTTATGCAGTACTTCGATTCTCGAGCCTGGCACACAACGACCCCAGCTCTGTTAGGGCCACAGAGGAACTGCTTTCAGCGGATATTTCTACGACAATGTTCACCATTTCTTTACTGTCAGAATTTTTTCAAAAAGTACACAATAAAATGAACAAAAAATGATTAAAAAGATATCATCCTTAAGCTGGCCTATGGTAGTGTATACCCTGGTAACACGTTATCACAGTGAAGAGGTCTTTTTCTTCATCGCCGAGGCCATGGACAACATTAAGAATTTAGTCCATGTCGGTGTGACAGGAATGGTAGTAGTAGACTGCTAGGAACCGTAGTCCGTACATTCGTCCCATATACTCCAACTAATCTTAACCTATACTTATCATATGGGAGCCTGGACTTCCATTCCTAGGACTACCATTCCTGTCACATTGGGGTAAAAGTAAGGAAGTAAACGAAATGCTGGAGGGTGTTTAAGTTTATTTTTATACGATAACTAGTACAGATAAAAACGAAAAAATATTGTTATAAAGATACGTACTCTTAGCTATTGCTCTAATTCCCTGTTGGATGTTTTAACAATCACTACACTGTAGTCAGCTGTTCAGTGAAGACATGGAAGACAAGTTTCATATACCCCAAAAAACATCAAACACAAGAGGGCACTGATGAAATGCTGCTATACAGATTCCTTAGGTAAACATAATACGGGTTCTAAAAAATATACTCCTAACTAGAAAATACACAATTTAAGTACTTGTACTCTGAAGGGATAGAATATGTTGTATTACGCCAACATACGCTAAACATATACAAAAATGTGACCTGTATATACACAAAATTAAAAAAAAAATTCTACCAGTAATTCATCTTTGATCTTTGAATAGTCTCCTGAGGAATTTCCTGCCCCAGAATTCATAACTTTAATACTTTTGCTTACAGAAAAGTCAACTCTTTATAAATTCATCCTTGATCTGTGAAATGTGTCCTGAGAAACTGCCATTACTTATAGTTTCTGCCCCAGAATTCATAACTTTAATACTATTTGCCAACAGAAAATTAATCTCTTTCACCAAGACACTGGAAAATATTTCCCAGACTATCTAGAGCAGGCTTTCCTCCTCTTATGATCTACACAATGCAGACTGAAATAGTTGTATCTGTTTGTACTGAACATTATTCAAATTGAACACTTGTTGATTTCAAATTTTTGGCTACAATGCTCCACCTATATGTTGTTTCATGGAGTCCTCCTAGAGGGCGCTGCTGTAAAGTGGAGAGTGACCGCATACTTTAAAGTACCTGCCTCATGTTGAGATAGAGGACAGAAGTTTTAAATACTTTTAAAACACTGGCAGTATACAGCTGGCAGTAAACCAATTAATTCACTTCTGCCAAATGCACTTACTCAGACATCCTCACAGAAATAGATCCATCAACTGAATTCATTTTGCCTTTTCACTTTGACAGTAGAAACCCTTCAGGCCCATAGTCAGCAATTTCAAAATCTACCAGGGGGTTCTTTTCTAAAAAGTGGACCTTTTACCTTGAAACTTTTGTGTACTTTGGTCAAATTTTACCCAAGGGGGACCTTTTTCCAGCAAAAAGAGCAGTTTGTTTGAACCCCCCAAACCCCTAGCCTACAGCTACTAGCCTGCTCTTTGTACTGTTCTCAATGTTATTTTATAGTTCATCATTTACAGCACATGTAACACTGAGAGATCTAAGTTCTAAGATCATCTCTCTCTCTGTATCTGTGGGAACTAAGCTGGCCCCTACAAGGAAATATGTCTATCTATTCAGTAAAGAGACGAGTGAACAGCATACAGATATCACAGCTGGGGAGACAGAACAGACACTTTTAACACGCTTCACTAAAGGTGGGTGGGGGTCTGACAATTTTTTTTGTCAATTGTACTAAGGTGTTCTTCTTTATTTCTGTTCCCAGAACTAGCTTGGCTCCACATCTTCAGTCTCTTTTCCACCATGCACCTAAAATATCAAGAGATATCAACATGATACGTTGGTCATTGCAAGCCACCATCATAATCTTTAAATCAGGATTATGTTTAAAACCATGCCATCTTTTTATTTCTTTATTTTGTATCCCTTAATAATCTTTTCCTTTGAACTCTTCCATAAGAGCATTCCTATAAAACAAGTTAATCTATACAAGTAAAATTACAATTAAAATGCTATGAAAAGATGCTGTCACACAAAGAGAAATGGAGAGAAAGAGAGAGAAAGAGACAAAGAGGGAGTGAGGAAGATATAGAAAGAGAGAAAGATAGGGAAAAGAGAGAGAGAGAGGAGTGAGGAAGAGAGAGAGAGAGAAAGAGAGAGAGGGAAGAGAGAGAGAGAGATAGAAGGAGTGAGAAAGAGAGAGACAGAGACAGACAGAAAGAGAGAGAGAGAGAGGGGGGGGGGAGGTAGTGGTGTTCACTCACTAGGTATTGGCATACTGTTACAGGATTCTGGTTGCTGCAGGTTGTCAATGTTGCTGTGCTGGAAGTTCTTGGCCAGTGATGACATGAGGTGACTGCCAAATAAAGAGGAAATAAAGCTGAGATAAGAACAATATTACAAAATTAACAATATTTGTTTAAAAGTCTTTATACCACTTGAACCCAATTTTTCCTTCAAGATCAGCAATACAATTTGCGTTCATGTTTAATATCTTCACAATTTCAATAAAAAAACCTATATCATTTTCTTTAATACTAATGTATTCAGGTTTCGCCACTGCTCTCGGGATACTACTGCCAAACACTACTAAATTTATGTTTAATATTTTCTCTATAATTATATTCAACACTATAATAGTATTCATGTTTTATATTTTCACTATAATAATCAATCATAAAACCAATATCCTTTCCTCTAAAACTAGTACAAATGTATGTATTCAAGTCTCACCATTGCTCTTGCATATTGTCTCAACACTAACAAATTGTCAATCACCTTTTCAAGGCCTCACACATCTCATACATAGCCCACACCCACACCCCAATTGCTTTAATTCCGAGTACAGTTCTTTTCCCTCTCCCCCTCACCTTTTCCGCATCTCATAGAAAACCCCCACCCACACCCCTACCCCCCCCTCACCTCTTCCATGCCTCCTTGCTATCCCACATCTCATAGAAAACCCACACCCCTACCCCCCCTCACCTCTTCCAG